GCGGGCATGCGAAGAACACATGCTCCGCATCATCATCCACTTCTGGGCAGGTTGGACATTTCGAGGAATCTTCATGCTTGAATTTATGAAGATACGCTCTAAAGCATCCGTGCCCAGAAAGCATCTGCGTCAGGTAGTAGTTCACCTCCCCGTGTCCGCGATTTAGCCAGACATCCACTTTAGGGATCAGGCGATGAGTCCATCTCCCCTCGGTGGAGTTGTTCCACTTCAGCTGCCATCGCCTTAGGCTGTTTCGCCTTTCTTCAGACGTCAACTCCTCGGGACTCAGCACTTCGGATCTTCTACGCTCATACAGAGCTTTCCGCTCCTCAGCCAAAATCTCGATCGGCAACATTCCTGCGATGACACACACTGCGTCCTCAGAAACCGTCCGATATGCACTTGCGACTCTAAGGGCACTGAGTCGATAGACTGGTGCGATCTTACGTCGTGCTTCCTGTAGTTGTAGGACTGTTCCCCAGATGGGGATGGCATATGTGAGCACGGAAGTAATCACTGAGGACAGTAGTGCTCGTCTCCTCTGCTTGGGTCCCCCGATGTTTGGCATGAGGCGTGATAAGGTGGATCTCACACCAGATACCTTAGTCCCCACGTGCTCAGCTTGCTGCTTGAAATTCAGTTGTGCATCGATCATCACTCCCGGGTATCGGATGAATGGCTAGGAGGTGATTTCACAAGACCCGACTTGCAGTGTGATCGTCTCGATCTTCTTCCTGCTGGTGGTCAATACGGCTTCCGTCTTCTGTTCCGCTAGGCTCAGTCCAACAGAATNGTGATCGTCTCGATCTTCTTCCTGCTGGTGATCAATACGGCTTCCGTCTTCTGTTCCGCTAGGCTCAGTCCAACAGAATCCATCCAGCAGCGGATCGTCTCGAACGTTATGCTGAAAACACGCTTCATGTCCTCCAAGTGTTTCCTGATGATGACCACAGCCACAAGCTTAGTCCGCGAGGGCAGTTTCAGCTTCAGGAGCCCGTCGTACATGATGTTCCACAGGAGGGGACCCAGGACTGAACCTTGGGGTACTCCTCCTGTCACTTTGTACTTCTTAGGCCCAGTCTCGGTATCATACATGAGGACCCTTTTGCTGAAATAGCTACTGACCATCCTCCGCAAGTAGCCCGGCACGTCCAGTTTGGCAAGAGCCTCCATGATGCAGTCCCACCTAGCTGAATTGAAGGCGTTCTTGATGTCCAGAGTCACCACCAAGCAATACTCCTTAGTGCCATTCAACCATCGTTCCCCTTCAATCGCTTTCCTAGCGGTTTCGACGACAAGGTTGATGGCATCAAGTGTGGACCGGCTTTTCCGAAAACCATATTGATTCCCAGCAAGCGCGGGTTCCACGGCAGCTTCTATCCTCTGGTGGATGATACGCTCGAGAATCTTGCCAGCAGTATCGAGCATGCAGAGGGGACGGTAAGATGAAGGTTCGTCCGGTGGTTTATTCCCCTTTGGGAGCAGTACCAACCTCTGCTGCTTCCACATAGCAACAAAGATGCCCTCTCTGAGGCACTCGTTGTAAACATCCAGGAACTGCTCTGACATCGTGTTAATGGCCAGCTTCAACGCGATGTTCGGGATTCCGTCCAGCCCTGGAGCTTTGGAGTTTCCCAGTCTTTTGCAGGCCTCCATCAGCTCTTCCCTGGTGATCTCCGGGACAATTTCTCCTTCCCATGGTTCAGAGTTGCGGCGAAATTCCGGTTGACTTGGGAACAGCGTCTCCACAGTTCTGTTCAGGAGCACCGGACACGATGGTGATGGCATTGATTGACTCTTGACTCGTGCCATCACCACCCTGTAGGGCCTCCCCCATGGGTCGGTCTCCACCTCGCTAAGGAGCTCGCTCCAGCATTGCCTCTTGCTATGCTTGATGGCTTTGCTGAGCTTTCGCCGTGCCTTCTTGTACTTCATCTCCAACTCCATGAAGTTGGGACTTTTCCTACCACGCTGAGATGACCTCCTGGCTGCGTTGCACTCCTTCCGTAGCACAGCGATGGTCTCATTCTACCAGTACACTGGTGGATGTCGATTTGTGGTCCGCTTTCCCGTCATTGTGGCGTCGCAGGCTTTACTCACCTTCCTCCTGATGCTCTGCGCCTTCAAAGTCGCATCTGTGTCAGCGATTGGATGGTCATCTAATGCTACCGCAAATGAGCTTGGGTCGAAAGTGCTCACTCTCCAGCCAACGCTGTTGGTCTTCTTGGCTGTTGATGCGACCTTCTGGTTGGAACATATCTCCCAAAGTATGGCTCGGTGGTCACTAGCCGTATATATATCAGCTATGCTCCATGAGTAGTTTCTCTTAGCCAGAGCACCACTCACGAAGTTAAGATTCACAATTGAGCTCGCCTCTCCCCGCATGAAGGTTGGTTCATCTCCTCTGTTCAGCAAGATCACGTCCAAAGCGGACATGGCTTCCAGAACAGCTTTACCCTTAGCGTTTATCACCTTACTACCCCAGTCAACTGCCCAGGCATTGAAGTCACCAGCTATCACCACGGGAAAGTGTTGCTTGGCATCCACAGTCAGCCTGTCCAGGAAGTCTGTGAACTCATCGATGCTGAGACTCGGTGGGGCATAACAGCTGTAGACGTGAATTCCATCGATCTTCGCCTTCACGTAGCCGTTCCTGCTTCCGGTGTCTTGAAAAGGCCTGTTCCCACAAGCCCAGATTACTGCCCCGCCATTGGCATCAGTAACCCAGGATTGGGTGCCGAGGTGTCGGTACGGCTCCGAAATCATAGCCAGATCAATCTTCAGCCCTCGCACCGTTTGCATAAGCAGATCATATGCGGCCTCACAGTGATTGAGGTTGAGCTGTAGTATCCGCATTACCGTTTACTCTTCATCTTCTGGAGTGCCTCCCTGAATACAGGGCATTTGCCGCTACCAGCAATATGAGCACAGTTCTTCGTTTGGTCTTTCTCAGCACATAGTGAGCAACGAGCTTCCTTCTCACAGGTGGCGGTCTTGTGTCCGACTTCTCCACACTTTGTGCAGAGTTTTGCCTGGTCCACTTCACTCTTGCACTTGATGGCGAGATGACCATAGTGCCAGCACTTGAAGCACTTGACCAATCTCTCCACCCTTCGGATCCGGCAGTTTACCCATCCTATGCGAATCTTGCCCCGTTCGCCTAGGACTTTCTTCGCGACCGCTGCAGCCACCGTCACGGATGCAGTCTGGGTTCTTCCGTAGGCCTTGCGCAAAGACCTGATCGCGTCGGGGGGGATTTGACAATCCACCCCAGCTGCGAGTTTCAGGGCTTCAAGCACCTCTTCCTTCGTCGTCAGCTCGTCGAGATCTTTGATCTCGAGATCCTCCTGTGGCCCTTTACTGAGGACATCAGCCTCGTTTCCAAGGAGCTCGGCTATCGCCTTGTGTAAGCTATCAGATTCGTTCTCCTTATCCTTCGAAAGGATGATCAGTATATCTCCCGTGGTCGTTCTGCGAACTTTGTCAACGCACTCACGAGTCTGCTCGGAAGATATCTGCCCCTTCACTCGTTTGAGCACCTCCGAATACTGCTGCTTGTCCTTCATGCGTACAATCAGAGCATTTGGCCTCGTCACCGGTACCCTTTGCTTCTTTTTCTTCTCCTCGTTCTTATTAGGCTTTTCTGACCGTTGCAGCTGCCTCTCCTTTCTGGTCTTGACCTTCTCCCAGTTCGACGACGCTGCAGGTGCGTCCTTCTCCTTGCTCTGGACCTGAGCAACCTTCGTCTCATCTTTCTTCTTCTTCTTGGGGTCCTTGGTGTCCGTCGGTGGTGATTCTCGCGACTTCCTCTTCATCCTGGAAACCTTGCTGTTGTCAGAAAAAGCTGAGTTCTTCTCCTCAAACTCTGAGTCCATCGAGGTCACAGTGTATTCAGACAGCGTCCGCGTTCGCCCTAAAAGTAATGATGCTGGTGTGACCAACATTTGCCTTGTCTGCCCTGCATGTCCGCCTAATTGTCTCAACCGTTTAACTGAGGTGCTGATGGAGCTCTCCAACTCTCGGGCCTGAGCGTTGATGCTCCTCTTCTCCGTCATGTAGTTCATCAAATCAGCAATAAGCTGTTCATGCCTGTCCCACATTTTCTCCTTCTTTCTGGCTGCGTCAGTTGGCTCCAATTTCTGAGTCAAGTTGCCCTGCTCCACCTCTTCAATTTTTTTGTTTGTATTTGCTTCCATCTTGTTCCCACGAGTACCTAGGGAAATAACGGACTACCTCAGTAGAGCCCCGGTTACTGAGGCTGAGCCACTTAATACACCTGGAGTTGGACCCGATGCCCCAGGGCCACCGTTTGCGACGCCAATTACCCCTGGTGCCTTCCAGAAATCAGCACGGTGAACACTTTAATATTGGGGGGTATGAACTGCTTCTTAGTTCGGGAAAATCCCTTAAGCCCCTCCACCGTCGTCAAGGTCCTACAGTTCCTAGGAGGGGTATGTGTTTGTGTGTGTGTGTGTGTCGGAATGCGTTTGCGCGTGTGTCGGGCGTATGGGTGTCATGAAAGTTGTAATATTGAATGGAACGAATAAATTGTGCATTTTTTCCAATTAATCACGTGGTGTTTTTATTCTGGAAAGTGTTTGTCGATTCATTGCAAATGTCGGGAAAATGAATTCGAAGATTCAATTGCCCCCCCCCCCTCACGAGCGTCGAACGCAAAGTTAGTGTTTGCTTTGAAATGTGCTCATCAATTGGTTAATAAATTGATTACCCCGCGAATTAATCAACCCCCTTACCCACCCACCCCGTGGGGTGGAATGATTCCGTCGTGAATAGTTTCCACTGAAGTCCAATAATATGTTAAGTAATTAATCAATTAATTAGCCCGCGAATTAATTAACCCTTTCTGATGATAATGTGAGTGTAGAATGCAAGAGAAAGATGTGTCAGGCTATCAAATCTCGTTCTGCCGTAACAAAATGTAGAGAGTAAAGGAAAAACGGAATGAAAGATCTAGATGTGATTCGTGAGTTGAGTATAGATTCATTAGTTAATGAGAATACAATTAGATTTTTTGAAATTTAAAAAATAGATCATAGTTTTCTCGATGAGGGTCCAACCGCATGGGAGACACGAGACGATTTTTCTACAGCCTTGAAAATCGTCAAATCTCTTCATGTAACAAATGATATCGCTGAAAGGAGTGCAGCTCTCGTAAGTGAATATAATGATTTGCTTACAAGAGATGAAACGAGTAAACAAAATCTAATGTTAGTTGTACAAAAGTTCCGAGAATCATCATCGGGTTGTGATAAGGAGCATTTGGAATTTTCATTGACAAAATATTTTAATGATAGATCCCCGGAAACTTCAGGTGATACGCATTGAAATTTAGTCTTAGCACTGATTATTATGTATTGATTTCACGTTATATTTATCATAAAATTGTCAAATAAATGATAAAACTTCTAAGCATTGAGCCACACCTAATTTTCATTACTAGTGTGTAAAGTAACTTTTTATGCACGACTGCCGGCGTAAATTCGTGACTTCAAGCACTCGTTGATGAATAATATTGTTCGATACTGCTAAAATATGTTTTCTTGAAAAAAAAAAAAACTTCAAAAAAACACTTCACGCACTAGTATCGAAAAGTAGTACGTCTTTGCACTTCCCATTTCCTTCGATGTTTTAGCATGAGAATTATTGTCCTTCCTCAATCGCGATTCAATAATTTGATTCTCACTTGAATTGAAATTTAATATTGAATTCCAAATGAGCAATTCCAGAAATTTGAGTACCTTCACTTTCAATTGAGATATTTTTTTCAATCGAGCTGTGTTGGAATTGTCATTGAATGCAGAAAATCAAGATGAAAATTTAGTATTAAAATTACGACTGAATAGAAAAATTTAACATTAGAATTAAAAAGGTAGACTACGATATACTGAGGGTAATAAAACGTTTGGTCCCTTTTGAAGAGAGGTCTAGCCAGTTAGCTGACCCTCTCCGTTTCAGGTATATGGCCTTCATGATGAGGCCGGATAATTCGTACACTTGTCACTCTTCAGAAATGGACGAATTTTCTTTTGCATTTTTGTTCCATTCAGAATAAGACAAGATAAATACCAATGTCTAAGATGACGAAAAGATAATTGAAAAATCATTTGATGAGGTTCGAAATGAATTCGTTAATGGTAGAACGCTACCAGACGTTCCTCAAAATCCGTCATTTAAACAAAAATCCTACTTGTTAATTCAGTGAAAAATGAGTTCAAAATCGTGATAGGTTATCTATTCTGTTCTTCAAGCCTCTGGAAATAGCATTTAAAAGATATTAGTCTGAATGTAAGTATTTACTCACTCAAATGTCGAATTTTTGTTTCATCCTCTTGATTATAGGGATAACCGCATAAGAATTTTGAAAATCTTATGCTGCCTGCAATAGTGTCCTGAAAAATCTGAAAAAAATCTAATTGTTTCTTTATCTATTGAAAATTAAAAAATTGCGATCATGCAGGGCGGGCTCATGGATATTTAACGCACTTGAATAGATTTATCTATCTATACGTCCCTTGAATCAGTTAATTACGTCGTGTAAATGGAAAAATGGTCCAACTGTAAACACACTGTAAAAACTCCGATCTTACGAGCGGTCTGAAACTAAGACTTAAAACAGGAAGTCCGATAAACGGTCTTAAAATCAGACCAATTTCCGATCTTAACATAAGATCTTACGGAACTTAACCCGTCACTAGGCGCGCTAAGAACGATTCCCTCACAAAAATTTTCACTTCATAAGAAATATACACTAAATGTAAAAGTATTTGGCTAATTTTTTTTTATATGCCTCAAGTCACTCTTCTAGTTCACTCCTGTGGTGCTAAAAGTTGTCTATCGATCAGGGTTGAGTAGAAAAAAAAAATTTTCTTCCTCGGCCAAAATTTTCCACATGTTACGGATATGGGACTTGTGACGCTGAACCCCGGATAGCGCCACCTGTGGCGATATTTGCCTCTATCCTTACGAGAAGCCGATGAGCGATTCCCTCATCGCGCGCTTCAAGAATGCTGGTGGAACGTTGAGATCGTTCATGAGTCCTGTTTCGATCTTAAATTTTGAGATCGCAACTTTAAGATTGAAAACGGGTCTGATTAAAAAATCTCTAGGTAGATTTAAGTTCGGTAAGATGAAAGATCGGTTGACAACGTAAAATTGATGCAGCGATTAAGATCGAAAATGTAAGACCATTTTAGAGTCTTACCTGAAACTATACTAATGAATCGATAAATTAAGTCATTCATTAATTTGTCGATAGATAACTTTGCTTAAGAATTAAGTTAATGGTTTATTGAGTTAATAATTCAGTAAACAATTAATGTTTCCCTTTGTGACCTTTACATTTTTACCCCTATATTGTAACACTATCGAACGGGTGCTTCGCGCCCATCGCTAGATTAATGTATACTATTTCATTTTACTTTATTTTCGTTGTGATTCTGTCTTCATGATTAGATCTATTTAAATTCATTAGTTCCATTCTTCTTATATGTATGTGTATATTTTCCTTAATTCACAAGTTCTAACATTGAATGAAGAGTAAAAATATGAGGATCAGAAGGATCAAAATCTAAANCACACTGTAAAAACTCCGATCTTACGAGCGGTCTGAAACTAAGACTTAAAACAGGAAGTCCGATAAACGGTCTTAAAATCAGACCAATTTCCGATCTTAACATAAGATCTTACGGAACTTAACCCGTCACTAGGCGCGCTAAGAACGATTCCCTCACAAAAATTTTCACTTCATAAGAAATATACACTAAATGTAAAAGTATTTGGCTAATTTTTTTTTATATGCCTCAAGTCACTCTTCTAGTTCACTCCTGTGGTGCTAAAAGTTGTCTATCGATCAGGGTTGAGTAGAAAAAAAAAATTTTCTTCCTCGGCCAAAATTTTCCACATGTTACGGATATGGGACTTGTGACGCTGAACCCCGGATAGCGCCACCTGTGGCGATATTTGCCTCTATCCTTACGAGAAGCCGATGAGCGATTCCCTCATCGCGCGCTTCAAGAATGCTGGTGGAACGTTGAGATCGTTCATGAGTCCTGTTTCGATCTTAAATTTTGAGATCGCAACTTTAAGATTGAAAACGGGTCTGATTAAAAAATCTCTAGGTAGATTTAAGTTCGGTAAGATGAAAGATCGGTTGACAACGTAAAATTGATGCAGCGATTAAGATCGAAAATGTAAGACCATTTTAGAGTCTTACCTGAAACTATACTAATGAATCGATAAATTAAGTCATTCATTAATTTGTCGATAGATAACTTTGCTTAAGAATTAAGTTAATGGTTTATTGAGTTAATAATTCAGTAAACAATTAATGTTTCCCTTTGTGACCTTTACATTTTTACCCCTATATTGTAACACTATCGAACGGGTGCTTCGCGCCCATCGCTAGATTAATGTATACTATTTCATTTTACTTTATTTTCGTTGTGATTCTGTCTTCATGATTAGATCTATTTAAATTCATTAGTTCCATTCTTCTTATATGTATGTGTATATTTTCCTTAATTCACAAGTTCTAACATTGAATGAAGAGTAAAAATATGAGGATCAGAAGGATCAAAATCTAAAGGTCAGATTGTAAGAGCCCGAATATGAGGATCAGAAAGTGTTAGGGTTGAATCTTCCTCCTCCCTCGCGGCCCTGATAAAATTTTTTTATTCAATCAACGCATACTAACGAAGGGATCAAATATATTCTGAAACCACCGACGGTAGTGGCCGTGCGGTTAGAGTGCTAGACTCGTATGCCAATGATCCGGGTTTGCTTCCCAGCACCGGCGGTCAAAATTTATAGCGCTCTAATCTCACAGTTTCACTGCCGAGCGGTACTCCCGTCAAAAGGACGACTGTACCAGGGCAGGTTTTTTCCTCGGATGAGGTTTTCCCTCCCTTCGGCAAATGCGGTACAGGGGATTGAGGGGGGTGGGAAGGGAACAAATCGTAAAGACCCGAAAGGGTATACGAGAAGAAAAAATTTTAATTTTTATATTCTGAAACCCCCTTCCCTCTTTGGGTAAAATTTGCAACCCTCCGCCATCACACCTTCCCCTTCCACCCAAAAAACGCATAGGAACGGAGGGATGGGGGTGGCTCAGAAAGGTTCTGAAACCCCCTCCCCGTGATGGGAAAATTTCCAACACTCCGCGTCGCACCTCCCCCTTCCTCCCCTCGCAAAGTTTCAATTGCCGCGATTTTCATTGTTTATTTATTTTTTTCAATTTTTTAAATCAACGCACGGGGGTGGCTCAGTCAGATTCAGGAACCTCCTCTCCTTGTTGAATAAAATTGGCAACATTCCGTCGTCGTACCTCCCGCTTCCGCCCCTCGTGAAATGTTAATTAACGAAATTTTCATTCTTTATTCAAGAACTTTTTTAATTATGTAAGTAATCCATGCCAACGGAGGGATCGGGGGTGGCTCAGATAGATTCTGGAACCCCCTCCTCCTGTTGGGTAAAATTTGCAACGCTGCGCCATCATCTCTCTTCTTTCAACTTTCTCGTGAAATTTAAATTATCAAAGATTTTCATTTTTTATTCAAATATTTTAATTTTATTTAAATAACGCATGCGAATAGAGGGATAGGGGTGGCTCAGTGAGTTCCCTTGTTGGGTAAAATTCGCAACCCTTCCTCATCATACCTCACGCTTCCAGCCCCTGATAAATTCTCAATTTTCGAGATTTGCATTTTTTATTTAACTTATTTTTATTCAATCATCGCATGCTAACGGAAGGATGGGGGGTAGCTCAGATAGATTCTGAAACCCCCTCCCCTTGTTGAGTAAAATTTGCAACCATCGGCCATCATACCTCCCCCTTGCACCCCCTCTTAAATTATCAATTTTCGCGATTTTCATTGTTTATTCAACGATTTCTGTTAATAATTTTTCTTCAACAATTTTTTTATTCAATGCGTGGGGTTGACTCAGTCAGATTCGGGAACCTCCTCTCCTTATTGGGTAAAATTTGCAAACTTCTGTTGTCGTACCTCCCCCTTCGGCCCCCTCGCAGTCTCAATTCTCGAGATTTTCATTTTTTATCTAACAATTTTTTTTATTTAATCAACGCATACAAATGGAGAGATAGAAGGTATCTCAGATAGATTCGGAAACCCCCTCCCCTTTTTGAGTGAATTTTGAAACCGTGCGTCATTATGCCTCCCCCTGCACCCCCTCGTAAATTATCAATTTTCGTGAATTTCATTATTTATTTAACATTTTTTGTGGCGCGAGCCACAATAGATCAATTTTTTGAATTTATTTCGTAGCGTCTCGAATATTCCAAACGTCGGAATTCGAGACAAACATAATTCTGTCGTTGTCCCTCACGAAATTTCAGGACAATTCTCGAACCTTCGATAAACGAAGATATATAAACTCGTACGCTCCCCGGCGGAGGAGGTCAATCTACTTTTGAGTACGCATGGAAACACTTGCCTTTAAATATACAGTTCTTGTCAACACCGAGTTATTATTTTTGATACCCGCACCAAACCGCCATAACTGGTGACACCGACGTGATTGAAGTGAATAGTTTTCTCGCATTTTCTTTGATTATTAATTATATCACGTTGACGCCGTGACTGTTCCGCGAAATTCGAGTGCATTTCGATCGTGCACTTTGTGAGTGGTTTGTGTGTCACGTACGCTCGTGTGTTGTATCGTTCGCGCGCTCCATTCGAGTTCTTTTCGTGAATATCGGTGCATTGCTGAGCACCCAAGGACGCTGTGCCGCAGTGAATATTTTTCAGACTTTCTCTAGTGTTGTTTTTCGCGAAACAAAATGCCCGATAGTGTCGAGGTGCGCGAAGCTGACAATGGAGCCCCGCTCCAACGCGTTTCGATACGATGTCCCGCCTTGAATGCCGAACGTCCAGCGATATGGTTCGCCCAGCTCGAGGGACAGTTTCATCTATCCGGGATTAACGATCAAGTAACGAGGTGTTACTATACCTCGTCTCATCTCGATCCCAAGGCCGCTGCTGAGGTACAGGATATCCTCTTGAATGTGCCTACCGAGACACCGTACACACGTCTCAAGGAGGCGCCCGGTGAACGCCTCACGCCCTCCCGAGACTGCTCGACCGAGAGGTACTGGGTGACAGGAAGCCCTCGAAATTCCTGCGTCACCTCAGGAGTCTCGACGACACGGTTCCTAACAATATTTTACGTACCAAGTGGCTCAGCCAACTGCCGATGACGACGCAGTCCATCCTGGCATCACAAACGGACATGGCTCTCGACAGGCTTGCAACACTCGCCGACAAACTGCACGAGATTGCATTGCCGGTAGCCCACATCAATGACGGCCAGGAGCCAACGTCCTCAGCCCTCGAGATACGCTTTTCTCGTCTCGAAGCCACAATCTGCGAGCTGGCATCGGCCCTAAAAGGGCAAAGCGTCGCAGGTTCTCGCTCCCGCTCTCGATCCCATTCTCGAGCAACCTCGCCAGCACCCGGCAACAACCAGTGTTGGTATCATCGAAGACACCACGACAGGGCTAGACCNCGTCGGAATTCGAGACAAACATAATTCTGTCGTTGTCCCTCACGAAATTTCAGGACAATTCTCGAACCTTCGATAAACGAAGATATATAAACTCGTACGCTCCCCGGCGGAGGAGGTCAATCTACTTTTGAGTACGCATGGAAACACTTGCCTTTAAATATACAGTTCTTGTCAACACCGAGTTATTATTTTTGATACCCGCACCAAACCGCCATAACTGGTGACACCGACGTGATTGAAGTGAATAGTTTTCTCGCATTTTCTTTGATTATTAATTATATCACGTTGACGCCGTGACTGTTCCGCGAAATTCGAGTGCATTTCGATCGTGCACTTTGTGAGTGGTTTGTGTGTCACGTACGCTCGTGTGTTGTATCGTTCGCGCGCTCCATTCGAGTTCTTTTCGTGAATATCGGTGCATTGCTGAGCACCCAAGGACGCTGTGCCGCAGTGAATATTTTTCAGACTTTCTCTAGTGTTGTTTTTCGCGAAACAAAATGCCCGATAGTGTCGAGGTGCGCGAAGCTGACAATGGAGCCCCGCTCCAACGCGTTTCGATACGATGTCCCGCCTTGAATGCCGAACGTCCAGCGATATGGTTCGCCCAGCTCGAGGGACAGTTTCATCTATCCGGGATTAACGATCAAGTAACGAGGTGTTACTATACCTCGTCTCATCTCGATCCCAAGGCCGCTGCTGAGGTACAGGATATCCTCTTGAATGTGCCTACCGAGACACCGTACACACGTCTCAAGGAGGCGCCCGGTGAACGCCTCACGCCCTCCCGAGACTGCTCGACCGAGAGGTACTGGGTGACAGGAAGCCCTCGAAATTCCTGCGTCACCTCAGGAGTCTCGACGACACGGTTCCTAACAATATTTTACGTACCAAGTGGCTCAGCCAACTGCCGATGACGACGCAGTCCATCCTGGCATCACAAACGGACATGGCTCTCGACAGGCTTGCAACACTCGCCGACAAACTGCACGAGATTGCATTGCCGGTAGCCCACATCAATGACGGCCAGGAGCCAACGTCCTCAGCCCTCGAGATACGCTTTTCTCGTCTCGAAGCCACAATCTGCGAGCTGGCATCGGCCCTAAAAGGGCAAAGCGTCGCAGGTTCTCGCTCCCGCTCTCGATCCCATTCTCGAGCAACCTCGCCAGCACCCGGCAACAACCAGTGTTGGTATCATCGAAGACACCACGACAGGGCTAGACCTTGCAAAGCACCTTGCTCGTGGCAGGGAAACGCGCCGGCGGATCGTTAGCGGCGGTTAACGTTCTTTCTTTCAAATCCAGCCGCCTCTTCGCAACTGATCGCGCCACCAAAACACGATTATATGTTCCAAGTACTCTATTTACATCAACAACTTCAGTCAATTCAAATGCATTCGCACCAAATACTTTGGGGATTAAGTATGGACCTTCGTAAATGTGGAAAAATTTAGCAATTTTCTTATCAATGGCTTTTGATTGGTGTGGCACCTTCACTAAGACTTTATCATTCAGATTCAATTCAATCTGCGAACTACTTTTTTGAGATTTTTGTCGATATTCAATTTTTTTTATTAAATACTGTCGAGCATCCGATTGTTTTTCTGGTAAATCAGGATCTTCGATTTCTGGGCATTTTATGAATTTTTCAATTTCATCGGAAGGTCTCTTGTTAAAGTGCAATTCGCAGGGAGCATATCCCGTCGAGGTATGACATGTGACATTCAACAGATTTTCAATTGTTTTTGTATATTTTGCCCATTTGGGGTGTGCATTTGCGCAAAATACCCTAAAGAATCTCCCCAATTCCCTCATGACCCTCTCCGTGGGATTACTTTGTGGATGTCGGATCGAGCAAAAAGACACTTGAATTCCTTCTCTCTCTAATGTCTCCCTCCACAAATGTGAGGTAAACTGGGAGCCATGGTCGGCGAGTATGCGTTTGGGCCTGGCCATGTTTGGAATGTAATCGTCCATTATCTTTCTCAGGATAGTATGCGTATTTGCTTTCTTTACTGGATAGAGCTTAACATACTTTGTGAATACGTCTATTTGCACAAAGATGTATTCCACTCCGCAAATTGATGTTGGCAAAGGCCCATAAAAATCTACTCATACTAAATCACTAGGCGAATCAGCATTGACCATTTGATACTCGCCTTCCATTTTAATATTCAGATACTTGATTCATTGGCATAAATCACAGAATAAGACATATTTTTTGACTGATTCCTTCATTTTCTTCCAATAAAAGAAATTTCTCAGATAAGTCAATGTTTTCTGCACCCCTGGATGTCCCAGTTTATTATGAATATTCTCTATCAAATTCCTTTGTAATTCAAGAGGTATTACCACTTGCCACCTTCTCATCCACAAGTCTTTGTGAAATAGTAAATTATTTGTGACCAAGTAATCGTCAGCCAAAACACCATTCTCATAATTCTCAAAATAAACTTTCCATTCATCATCATCTCTTCGTTTCTCAGCTAGATTTTTAAATTCCCTTTTATAATCCCACAATATCAGGTGAACAATCTTTCAATGGTAATTCTTCGGGTAGAACAATTTCAATACTAGATGAGATTAGTGTATTCACTGTCTCGATTTCGAATTTTCCCCTAGGATGTCTGATAAAAAAATCAGCTACGATGTTGTCCTTGCCCGAACAATGATATACTTTAAACGAGAAACTTTGGAGAAATAAACTCCCCCTAATTAACCGAGCACTTTGATACAATGTTTGATTCAAAAAGATAACTGCCTTATGATCGGTGATGATATCAAATTCAAGACCAATCAGATAAGTTCGAAAATATTCTATTGAATAAACTATTGCCAACAGCCCTGGCGGATCTGTCGATTGTAGAATCGACTTGATCAGTATATCGATTCTAATGCGGGTGCAGTTCGATTCAGATTTCAGATTATTGCTGGAATCAAAGATGAATTGACTTCACAGGAAGTCGATAGCTAGTGGATATCGAAGATCGAAACACAATCGACTCAAGCATAAGTCGATTCGTCCACCGGAATTATAAAAACTAATATGGAACGACTGAATAACTAGACGTTTGCCGGTCGATTTACTTGAATAATGAGACAATCGAAACACAATCGACTCAAGGATAAATCGATTCGTCCGCCGGAATTATAAAACAGAACTCCAGAGAAAGAAAAAGCTTGCTGCTGAGCGCGCCGCAGTCAAAAAAGCGAAAAAGCAGAGTGCAGTTAAAAAACAGAAGGGCGAGGCCCCGCTCAAAGGAAAGAAAAAATGAATCAAAACTACGAAAAAAAAGAACAATTTTCATGTTCTATTTCCAATTTAACAAAAACAATGCAAATAGTTCTTATACATACCGATAGAGGTAGAATGTTCCTTTAAAAGCGCTCTTTCCAATTCCAGTGGTTTGCTAGGATTGATGTTTGAATAGGTAATTGAATACAAAAACGTACTGAAAGTCAACTGAACATTTGAAAAAAAAAGTAGATAGTAAATCCATGTACACTGGTGTATAGTTGGTAAAACATAAGATGAGTGTATTTTCTTTTACTAGTAAAAAAATATGTATTCATGACATTTAAACTGTATTTAGTTCACGATGTAACTCACTCACTCATCTGTTAATTAAAGGTGAACGAAGGTAAGTCTTGCTCGAGGAAAAACTTATAAGTTGACTTAAAACTTATAACTACTAAAACGTATAACTACTAAAAACTTGAAACTTAAAGTCGATTATGACTCGATTGACCTCATATTGTCTAAGTAAATCGACCCACAGTCGATGAGTTATTTAGTCGTTTCATATTAGTTTCTTATACTTAGCAAATGAATCGACTCGCTACCAAGTCGATGGTAGCTCGATCGTCATCATTATTCAATTCAATCGACCCACAATCGAACAGTTGTTTAGTCATTTCATAAATTTTAATAATTTCAGTGGGCGAATCGACTGATCCTTGAGTAGATTGTGACTCGATTGTACTAATATTTTTCAAGTCAATCAACTCAGAATCGACTAGTTGTTTAGTCGTTTCATATAGTATTTATAATTCCGGTGGGCAAATCAACTGATCCTTAAGTTGATTGTAATTTGATTGTCCTCATTATTCAAGTAAATCGTCCCACAAGCGTCTAGTGGTCTAGTCGTTTCATATTAGTTTTTATAATTCCGGTGGACGAATCGACTTATTCTTGAGTCGATTTCTTATACTTAGTATAAAGGTTTCTTATACTTAGTAAATGAATCGACTCGCCGCCAAGTCGATGGTAGCTCGATCGTCCTCATTATCCAACTCAATCGACCCACAATCGACTAGTGATCTAGTAGTTTCAGATTAGTTTTTATAATTCCGGTGGACGAATCGACTTATTCTTGAGTCGATTGTGTTTCGATTGTCCTCATTATTCAAGTAAATCGACTCGCAAAGGTCTAGTGGTCTAGTCGTTTCATAATAGTTTTTATAATCCCAGTGGACGAATCAACTTATCCTTGAGTGGATTGTGTTTCGATTGTCCTCATTATTCAAGTAAATCGACCCGCAAACCGTATGGGTTATAAAGGTAATGCAATTTTTTTCAGGAAGATCGAATATGCGAGAAATTCAAAATAAAAGACGAGTCCAATTCATTACATAAAAAATTTATTAATTTTTTCAACAACACGTTCATTTTTCTCAATACGGGCATTAATAATTGGTATTCAGAAGAATAACATAGTTATGAAATATTATTTTATAATTTATAAAAAGACATAAATGATAAATTCAAAGCGAGAAAAAAGATAATAGAAGGATAACATTGTTATGACAAATTTGAACGATAATGGTAACTGGAATGATTCAATAGCTCTTGTTTCAAGTCTCATTTCATTCTCTCTCTAAATAATCTTGCAGTGAAAACTCTAAGTCTGCTCTTGTACAATTAGGTGACGCTTGCCGTATTTCTTCGACAATGAGCAATAAATTTTGCTTGCTGGCTTCGTCTTTCGTGAGTAAATCGTTATATTTACTTACGAGTCCAACAGCTCTTTCAGCAATGTCGTTTGTAACACGGAGAGATCTGACGATTTCACAAGCTGTGATAAAATCATCTCTTGTCTTCCATGTTGTTGGTTCACTGTCCAAAAATCTGAATCAATCCCAGTAATTTCAAAAAATTTCATCGAGTTTTCAGTAACAAATGAATCCAAGTGTAATTCTTTAATCAATTTCAAATTTGTGATCCCAGTTTTTCTCTTTTTTCTATCATCATCGAGAGCTGATCGAGATTTGATCGCCTGACACATTTTTCTTTTGCAATCAGCGCTTACGCTTTCATCGAAGAAAGCCAATACAATCAATTCCTCCGATAGATACCAGAGGTGACTCACAACTTTATTGAATACAGCCTTATACATCTTAGAAGGAACACAACGAAAAGAATCAGCATTGTCGACCAACGCTTTCAAAAGATTCAGATCGTTATTCGGTGCTGCTACTGTGTTTGGAGCAGTGAACCAAGCTTTCAGATTAAAAACAACAATGAAAACGCAAATGTCTCTCAGAGCAGAAATTTCGTGGGATGTCAAATGGAACTGATCCCTGAACAAAAAGATTTTAAGTGAGTAGATGCCTTTGGCCATCCATCTGGCATGGTGAATTGGACCCAGCGCACGAAAATGGTTGCCTCCTGTTAAATTTCCACCCAGAAATAGTATCACCAGCTCCAAAACTCCCTATAGTCCCCACGGTTGGGTTTACTCTAGACACAACAGATAAAGATGATGGGATGCAATTGATCGTGAAACTTAGGCTTCAATCGTGATAAAAATGGAAAGAAAAAATTAAATATGAGCAGATCATTCCGATATTGGTAAAAGGCGATATGGCTAACCTTCAATTGTGTCTCAGAAAATGTGACGATATCTGCAATATCTTGCTGCAGGGTAGCTTTTACAATAATATCGTGAACTCCAGGCGTGAATTTTCGTTGGTCCAAGTTCTCCCACTGTTCTTGACGTCTTTTGAAAATCGGCACGTCAGGACCAGAAGTACATCCCATTGAAGATTCATAAGCCGTTTTCAGGAGAAGTTCAAAAACATGGTGACGACAGGCCAGATACAAAAGATCTCGTGCAAGTAATTTCTCTAACATGATACATGCGCCATTCATGCCGCCTGTATTGGAAACTGTTGTATCGAACACCATGGCGCATATCTCGTCAGCAATGTCCCATTCCTTCAAACAAATATGCACTGCTCGAGCTTGGGCTTCTCCGGTTCCTCTTTCGAGTCT